CACGCCCCCCCCCCCCCCCACTTGTGTTTTCAGAGCAGAGGGGAAGCCACTCACCACAGTGCAGAACAGGACCCAGAAGATTGCAGCCAGCACTGTAGTAGCTCTAGCTACTGTACTATACTGTTTACAGGATCCCCAGAGGCAAATCTGGTATGGCATATGCATACTTACAGTGGGCCAGGCTGGACTAAAGTAAGTATGCAAAATAATGCATACCAGAAGTTCTGCTTTAAACCAAAACCTCATTAAATAAAATAAAAGCACATGGACTGGTGGACTCCTACATCTTGCAAGGAAGAAAAGAAGCAGACTCACAATGACTGCAAATACACCAGATTTAGTTATCATACAACCGCATTTTAGTACAGCCTCTTGGATATATAGTAAAGATATTTTGATTGCGTGGAAGGTCATCCAAGTACCAATTATGTGCCAGTTATAGACTTACCAGGCCTACAAAAGCCTTATCTGGAGCCATCATTTCTTTTGTCACTGGGAAGGGGTGTTATTCACCAATCAACTCAAGAATTGCTTGGCTGTTTGAATAAGCTTCGACTCCAAAAAGGAACACATTTAAGATGCGCTGGGGTTTCTGTGCTCACTCACATTGTCCAGATGCAGGAACGTTCGCAAATATTGTCCCAGGCACAGTCAAGGTAGTTCCTAAACAAAACGGGTCTCCCTTGTTGGGTAACCACAAGTGACTCGATGATCAGAAATAAAGGGTACCAAACCAAAAAGGTGAAAAAGAGTACAAAAATTATTTTTTATTGTTCACAAGTTAAATCAAAACAGCCAACATGTTCAGGGGCAACACCAGTCCCCCTTCATTAGGGCTCAGATTGAGATTTGAAATGTTTTCTTTCTGCTGCTGATAATAATAATTCCAGCCCTAATGGGGATCTTTACAACTAATTATATCGAAATCCATTTGGTTACGTTATGTTTTTGAGTCCAATCAAATCCTTATCCCAGTCTAAACCCCGATGAAGGGGGAGTATTCTTGAAACGTGTTGGCTATTGTTCGATTAAATTGTGAACAATAAAAAGGCACTTTTGGACTCTTCTGCCTTTTGGTTTGGTGCTTTTCATTTCTGAACAATGAATAACCTTTCAATCCTCTACCTTCTCACTTCCTTTATACACCTATCCTTTTTCTTATTTATCCTTCCCTTTAATTCCCTTTCTATTCTTTGACTACAAATGAAAACGCATTCTTAAAACTTGACGAACAACTATTATTCACTCACACAATAAGGAAGCAGAAAACTGAAAATAGTGTGCTTACTTTACACAGATTGCCATAACAGGTTGCAAACAAAATAGGCTATCCCTTTACATAAAAATGTCGGAATCTTCAACTTTAAACCTGCTATTAAAACGGAATTTCTAATATCGTTTTCTGTGCTGCCATGAAATTCCTAAAAAGGAAAAAAAAAAAAACTATCATTGTACAGGTGGTGTGTCTTACCAGTTTGATACGATCCTCAGAACGGAGAAGATTAATCACCACCTGGAGGTGTTGAGGTAGATCTCCTAATAGGAGAAGAGGGGGAAAAAAACAAAACAAAAAACAAAATAAAAAAAAAAAACAAGAAAAGTAAACTAGAAGGAATTACTGTAAAATTAGTCTATTCTGTCCTAATTCAGCTTCTGTTGTGCATTTGAAAAGGAATACCAATATCAGATTGGTTGGCGGGGGTAACGTTTCCATATTTATGTAATTTTTTTTTACAGGAGTCCTATAAGGCAATACAATAAATAAAAGAATACACCATTGCCTTTTAAAAAAGTTTCTTGATCTTAACAGTCTAAACACGGCTTGTAGTAGAAAAAAAAATCAATTTCATGCATTGGCTAAAACAGAAGTTTTAGTCAGTTATAGATGGTGTGAGCAGCCTACAGGCTCCGTTATTACAATGTCCTGCTGTGACGTGCATGGTTTCCCAAGTTTCATATGTGCACTAGAAGGATCAAGCAAACATGCTACACATGTACCTTTCAAAACATGACCGACTCAGTGACGTGACAACGACAGGGTATAGCAAGGATAGGAAACCTTGGCACTCCAGCTGAGTGCCAAGTACTAAAAAGACGAGTAAAAAGTTGATTGCCAGCTGTAGTTTTCTAGGTGCATTACACCATTGGGGCTCTTTAAAGTGACACTAAACTCAGGAGTTAAATTTTAAAAATGCATTCAAGAACCCATTAATAAAAAAATGTATCCTATTTGTGTATCACTCAGCTGTACATCCTCAAATCATCTCTGAATTGGTGCTGACACTGTCCTTCCTTCTGGAGGGTGGCTACTTTTCTTCCCCATGGTCCCTGTGTTTGTTGTAAAGTAGCCACTACTCCAAGCTCACTCCCGGGATGGATGCAATCTCTATACAAATTAGTGAGCTAAATGTGAGATTGTAGTTCATCATGGGAGCAAGCTTGGAGCGGTGGCTACTAATGGGAATTCCCATCACTTTCTGTCCCGTTGACCAGTGGTCACCAGGACAAATGGTGTGAATCTCACCAACAGTAATAAAAACCTGACAGGGATTTAACCCTTCCTTAATTTGCTTAAAACTTAATAAAAAGAATTATACCCAACCTACAAAATATGCTGTAGCCAACGGCACTAGCACATTTCTAAAAGTATAAACAAAACCAGACACCCCAACTCTCCCGGACGCTCCGGGAGTCTCCCAATATTAGATAGCGGCTCCCGGCCACCCGGGAGAGAAACACTTTCTCCTAGAAAGGTTTACCCTGCTCAAATCGAGCAGAATAAACCTTTCCCTGCTTTATTTTTTCATCGGGGCCGCCGTCAGTCAGAAAAAAAAGCATAGGAATGCATAGCTAGATTCCTATTGGCTATTTCACTTTACAATAGCCAATAGCAAACTAGCTATTGCACCCGCCCTCTGCTGCCGATCAGCAGAGAGGGACCTGAAGTTCTCTATCAGGTCCCCTTCTAGTGATTGACAGCAGGAGAGGATGGGTGCAATAGCTAGCTTGCTACTGGATATTGCAAATTTAAATAGCCAATAGGAATCTAGCTATGCATTCCTATGCCGTTTTTTTTTTTTTTTAATTCTGACGGCAGCAACTGTCAACAAAATCATTAAGCATATATTTTAGAAATTGGTATTACCAGAAAGACACAGACAAGTTACAGGCCTAAGGGGCTGTAATGAGAGAGAAATCACAAATCTTCAGCCCTGCACTAAAGCACTTTCAGTTACATCATTTCCCCTGAGGTCAGCTGGAAGGCCTTGCAAAGGGCTACCTTCTTTAGCATTTGTTAGACTGAAAGACATGCATGTGATCTGCCCCAAGGAATCAAAGTAACACAATTATCTGCAAAGCCAATAACTATCCTGTCTCCCACAGAAAGCCTCTGACCTTACGGCCACCCCGTACCAGCATTCTTGTGCAAGTGTTGAAGACTCCTTTGTCCTTGGTAGCTGTTTCCCTGCTGCAGGAAGAGGGCAGCACCCTTCACCATAAAAAAGCTGTCGCTCAAACTGAAAAAAAGAATAACAAAAATACAAGAAGTTAATAAAATGAAATTGATCCCAGCCCAAGCCCAGTGCATAATATGTATTTTTCAATGGTAATAATGGCTTAAATTGTAAAGAAATGCATACTTTAATAATCAGTATTAAAACAGTTATCTCTCATGTACAGCTTTGATGAATATGGAATACTAAAGTACTAAAAGTGTAGCTCCATAAAGGACAAGTTGCAGTGATGCAAAGGGCCAAATAAATTGAAGACACAACAAATATTTAACTACATAGAAAAAAAAGAATATCTTCAGAACATTAAAAAGGGCAAAGTTGTTCCACCTGAAGAACAAATTAAGTTCAGACACAGTATAAAATATGAAATCACCTACACTGGATTCAGAATGGCTTCCAATGGTCCTGGACTGCTGCTCTCCATGTGAGAAAAATCATAATGGGGTACAGTTACATGCACCTCTAAAGCACCTGTAGAAGCACTGGCCATTAAATCCTCAAACAGAGATTTAATTGTAGTCTTTCTAAGATTTCATTCAATCCTGCAGACCTGCCTTTTCATAGCCAAGTAATCATCAAATGCAAGTAAAGAGAATTTGCTGCACTCTAAGATGAGTACAAAATGTGTGTTCAACATCTTCTCGGATGCATCCATCCCTTCACACCCGAAAGATGACTTCATGTTTCTCTAATTCATTCACATGGCAGCATTATTAGGTCACTGGAGGGATGGTAATGCTCATCAGTATCATATAGCAGAAGAATAGGCTGTCAGTGAGTAGTACAAAGAGCTGTGTCATCAGAGGTCAATGCTCAAGTCTATATTATGCGAGACATTAAACATGCATGGAAAAACTATCTAACATGGTCATTACATCTGCCGTATACTTCTAGAGGCTGATTTTGTGTCTAAATTCTAGTTACCAAGATTATTACTAACAAGTGGAGCCTTGTTAGATACTTAGTAGGGTAAAAAGTCTATGAAAGGGGATGATGCAAACTAAGGATTGACAAATTAATATGAAGTTTAGGAGCCAGTCTGTCCAATCCAGAAGCCACTAGATTATTTTTAGGAGCTAGCTCCATGGACAACTAGAGAAAACTTCAAAGTTAGGCGCCAGCTGTAATTTGTAAATGAGAACTAAAGTCAAACATTTTTGTGGCTTTACTTCTCTTTTGGGTCAATGGAGTACATGAATTAATGTCCGTCCTCCTGTGACCCAAAGTCGGCATACAGCGGGTACTGCCCAATATATGCCGACAGCGCAAAGCTGCACTGCAGCCAGGAAGGATACCAATAATATTGTTGGGATTCACCCCACTGTCTGAATTACAGCTGGCTTCACCTCTCTAGAGCCAAAGCCAGCTGTGCCCGCCCCCTCCCATCTGTCCCTCCAATGAGCTCCAGGGAGACAGACGAGAAGGGGTGAATCCCTGCAGGGAGCGGTGCCTGATGGTCATTTCTCTCTGCAGGGAGAAAACCATGAGCTGAGCAATCAGAGGGCACAAGATCGCTCCGTTCTCAATCCATAGAGCCATCCTGTGAAAAATGCAGCGTCACGTGTCAGCTCTAAGTATTGGGAAGAGTATATTTTACTCTATTTTACTCTTCTTCTTTATGGAGCATTGGCTACCTAGTAATTAAGGCTGGCTATACACTAAGTTTTCTGAGAAGAAAAAAAACCCCCAAATAAACCTTGATTTCCCCATTCATGCTAACATCCGAGCTCTCAGCCCCAGATTTATCAGACAGGGATCTTTGAAATAGGAAGCTTCAAAGACCAAATGGGGCCACACACTGGTCGAATATCGATTTTGACCAGTGTATGGCCAGCTTTATACAGGATTCTTGAATATTCTCATTGTAGCCAGTGTGACTAGGTTTCCATTAACCACATTTGTTACTGCAGATATTCCCAAACGTGATGAATGATGTCACATTACCAGCATTTTATGCAGGGCCCACTTCCAGATGAGTTTTGGCAACAAATAGAACTTGGTCCTTTAAATCCAGCTGAGCTTTAAAGCTTAACTGCGCTTCTCTGGCAGAGCTGGACAATCACAGCATGCATGTATGTTGCGAATGAGCTTGAGAACTTACAAATGGCACCTAACATTTCGGAGATTTATTAATATGGTTATGAAAAATTATCCAGGACAAGCAGCATACTGGCACCAATTTTATTCACCCTTTGTTTCTAGCAGTTTGATACTGCGCGTGTTGTCCATCTTGTTGCCTTAATGAACAACATTTAAAGAACAAAAAAATATTCCCCATTTACTTACCTAAATCCGTGGGGCCATGACATTCCAGTCCTGAGTCTTCTATCTTCTTCTGTGTACAGGAGATGGGGTCCTTCTTGCAGTGTCCACGTCACTGCCTGTGTGACGTGAGCCCTTCCCATTGGATGTCCAGTGGTGGGGTCCTCTCTTTTGAAACGGCCCAGCCAGTGCCCGGACCTGAATCCAATTGAAGACTTGTGGGGTGACCTGTAGAGGGTTGTCCACAGGAGATGCTGCCCTCGCAATCTGGCAGATTTAAAGCGCTTTTGCAAGGAATAATGGGCAAAGATTCTCAAGGGAAGATGTGCCATGCTAATAGACTCCTAACCCAAAAGACTGAATGCTGTCAAAATCAAAATGTCTTCAACACAGTATTAGTTTAGGGTGTGCATACTTATGCAAACATGTTTTTGTAAGCGTTTTTTATTTCGCCACCCCCCCCCCCCCCCCCCCCCACAACTATATCTGTTTTTTTTAAATCCCCCCCCCCCCTTAAAGATTTCAGTTTGTTTTTAATTGAACTGCACAGATTATAGGTCACATTAAAGGTGGAAAAATATCAAAGGTGATATCTTTGTATGATTTTTTTACGGAGGAGTGTAGACTTTTTATATCCACAAGTGTTTAAAAATGATTTACTATTCTTTTTACACAGAACATACAAACATGAATCTGTCTTAATATCAGCCTCCAGCAAACCCCTGTGCACATACAGAGGGGAGAGAGGCTCTATTGCTTTGAACAGGGTTAACAATAACCAGAGATAGTCTCATTGTTCTACTGGGGCAGGTCCTGTATTAGGCTATATGGATCTTAGCTGAAGTATGGTCTACAGGGAGGTCCAGGACCTTGCCATGATGCCTGGAAGGGTCATATAGAAGACTGGTTAAATTCTTAGGTAGGCAAAACAGTTTTATTTAGCGATTTGCCTGGAATTCGGCTTTAAACCAACAACTATTCTTGTCTTGAGATATCCTTTTAGTATGCCCAATATTACATTTTAATTTTGGCTGTTTGCAAGTAAGGATAGGTTTTGTGCCCAAAAAGCATTTGATTTTCCCCTAATCAGCTATAAAAGGAATGTATCTGAAATAGTGGAACCAGACACTACGTACAGACAATGTAATATGTGTGACCAACCCTTTTTTATTTGAATATTATGTAACTATACTCAGATCAAGACTGCAATTTCCGAAACATGACTTCCCTTTTCATGAATTTTTAGTATTAGTTGATGGTTATTATCACATTTGTCAGGAATATGCTGCTTATATACTGTGGAATAGATGCTCTATAAGAGGTGGATTTACAAGATGGTTGTAGCATCAAGCATGTGCCAAATCTTACCTGGGCAAGTAGAAAAAAAGGATTTCTATCCATGTAAAAGGATTGGTTAGTACCCTTTTAAACTATTAAAACACAACAAAATGCTCCATGAAATGTCCACTGCCCAATTCAGTGGTCATCAGCCAAGGCATTTGTGACGAATAATGAAAACTTACAGTATTGATGCAGCAAAGCTCTCCTGCCATCCCAACCTAGAGACGAGCACAGATCTGTGAGCAGCAAGAATATGTACTAGAGACAGACGCAGCTGACCATTCCCTTCCTACACAACAGTCCTCTCAGCAGCAAATCCTAATAAGTTAGAGAGAGGCAAATCTCAACTTTTACAGCTAGCACCTCATAGATACCTCTGTCCCACATATGACAGTCATGTGCCACCGCTCTTTGCATTGGTCAGTGGCCAGCAAGAGTGGTTAGACACAGATGGAAGGCTTAGCTGTTGACTTGACAAAAAGTTAAAATATTACATATCAGTAACAAAGCGGTTTAGGATGCCCATTTTGGGGGCACAAAGAGTGGAATTTTGAAGGTATCACTAGGTGTAAAGGTTTAACCCCATCAACTCTTCATCCAGGACTTTTGCACTCACTTATACTGAAACTTTGTTCACCACAACGTTTCCAACCTGCTAGTACACCTATCAATGAAGGAAAACAAAAAAAGGTATCTGTACAAATTGTATTTAAGTTTAAAATAAAAAAGCTTATATAAAAACCCCACAGCGCTCCTTTCTTCACCCCCTAACCTACTCCAAGCTATCCCCTCTGTGCCTGCTTACCTGTTTGACGTTGGCAGCCTCCTGTAGTGCTTACAGCCTTGGTACATAATTCTGGTCTGCTGCTGCGGCACACACAGTAACTTCCCATAGACCTAAATGGAAGCTTATTCCTTTTTTGCCTCAAGACTCATCTCTTAAGGGAAGCCTATCCCACCCTCAACCTAACCATTGAACTACCACTTTCTCAATCAATTCATCCCCACACAGCTACCACTTCTTGTATCACTTGCCCCTCCCTTTTAGATTGTAAGCTCTCATGGGCAGGGCCCTCCTTACCATTTTGTCTTGATTTGTATTGTAACTGTATAAAGGTCTGCCTTATATTGTAAAGCGCTGTGCAAACTGTTGGCGCTATACATATCCTTTATAATAAGAATAACTCCGACTGCATGGCTATGTCCCTTAAAGACTACGGAAAGGATACAAGCCCCAAAAGAGGAGGGTGAAAACCTGCAGAGGCGCCTGTGATTGAAAGGAATGCTTGAGGCAGCTTATGCATCAACAATTCTTATTTGCCAAAGGACATTCATAATACCACATTTACATGTTTTGTGGCTCTAAAATGGCCACTTCCTCAGAAAAGTGTATGGAAACA